CCATCAACAAGCGTTCTACCTTCACTGTCGTGACCAATGAATGTCACGCCAACTCCATTCTCGTCTTTCATGTCGCAGTATACTGTATATACATGTAGCAGTATACTGTAAAAGGTGACAATTCTGAGCTCCCGATTAGCTCAATGGATAGAGCGCTGGACTGTTGTGTGGGAGGTCGAGGGTTCGAGCCCCGGCCGGAACAACACTAAGGGTCTTAAAATAATTTAGAAGAATTTNTCCTTTAAAATCAGTGCACCATTAGACTCTACCACGTGACGTCCAATAGGAAGCACTGAGTTCACCTTTTCCCACAAGACTTTTGGGCTTGGACTACCAACCGCTGTACATTTTAACATGGCTGTCTGACTTTCATTGACTGTCATTCCAACAGGACGCTCTATCAGAGATGGCGCTGAGATGGACTTACCCGGCTCACCCTTGGCTCCCTTAACTCCCGGCGGTCCTGACGGTCCAAAGGCACCGGGATTCCCCGGTAATCCGACATCTCCCTTTATTCCCATCGGTCCTGCAGATCCAATAGGTCCATGTTTACCAGGAGGTCCCTCTAAACCAGTTCTCCCGGGAGGACCTGGTTTCCCTCGGAGTCCCGGTCTTCCTCGTCGTCCCTTGTTACCTTTCGGTCCTGGACGGCATAGAGTGTGATCTTTAGCACAGACTTGGTTTTGCAACAAATTAAATTCTTGTTTTATCAGAGTTATTACTACGGAGGATGTCAGGGAGGACTTTTGTTTAAGATTTTCGACTGAAGAACGCTTTTGTCTTGATATGATCTCTTCGTGACCTGGAATCAAAATTGAAAATAATTAAGTACATTATAAGTCAGTCACGTCACTCGTGGGTTGATTCGGGCACATGAACCACTTTGCTGGGCTGCAATAAGATTGTAATTAGGTAAAGGTAAGTCAGATACCCAATTTTGAAATATCTGATCATTGCAATGACCTAGATTGCATTAGACTTAAACAATGGAAAATTGATTCTGTTACCTTTGGTCGCATGCCAATGGCTTTTCGTGGCAACAGCTTGCTTTCGTATAATACTCTCCTGAACGTTTAGCAAGATTTCTCTCTCCACCTTATCCTACGAATCTCGTGTGAATAATATCAGACGATGATTTTCTTGTATTCTGAGTTCTTGGTGAATTAGCACGATGCAACAGACAAAAGACAGCAGTAGACCTGACCCCGAACATATGCGGTCCAGCGTTTGTCGTGAAGTTCTCTTTGACTGCTTCCACTCTTTATCTTCGCGTTTCATTATTACGACCCCTGTAATTAGTTCTTAAGGTACTGTAGCTTAAGATCATAGATTTGATCAGTAAATAAATGTTGTTCCTTTAGTCTTGTAGCGACCAACACGTAAACTCAATCAGAAAGTTCCTGTTTAGTAGCTGTGTGGAAAACAGCTGGGTGTAAATTGACCCTCTTTCGAGGTAAAGATGACAGACTTGCCTGTGCTTGTTATAAAGGGAGTTTCAGTTTCGCAAGTATATTTAAGTATATAATTAGCACCACTGGTCAAAGGAGTTAATATCCCAGACAACTCCCTGATTAAATATCTTGTGTTCATACATAGCTGTAGAAAAAGAGAGGTGAGCAGTCGAGTCAGTATTAGCGTCATTCACCTCAAAAGCACTCCACTTTCTTATCCTTAATTCACTTAACCTGCTTTCGCAAAACTGGAGGCCAGTAATTTAGGCTAACACATAACAGCCACAAGTTGCACTTAGCTGATCTCTGTTAGGCGCCTTACTCGCAGTCGGTCTCTTTGAATTATTCACTCACTTGATAATAAAACCATGCACCCTATGGGAGAAATAACTTAAACTACATAAATATATATAATAGAACGGTTCATACTGTAGATTAAACGCAAAATTTAGCCCTAACATGCTTTTTCACGCAAAACTTAGACGGGTATATTCGCTTGGTCATGCTTGCATGCTCCCATTCTCGTAGACACAGAGACAAATGCATTAATTCTAAGTAGTGAATTAGACTTATATCACTCTGTTTAAAAATGATAACAATAAACGAAAACTAAATCCTTGAATTACGGAAAGGACGGTTATTATTAAAGTTGATGCGGGAAATTCGTAATTCTTGAACTTCATTGCTGACTTTGTTGAGATGGCAAACCCTGCTCAAGTTTCCCCCATAACTCCTTGCGCTCTTTTCGCATTTGATATACATCAATCATTTTGACTTACATGCAGCGTTTCCATTTATATCGGACGACCACGGCGACGACCACGTGATGTTTGGCCTTGGGTTACCATTCGCAGTACATTTCAACATGGCTGTCTGACTTTCATCGACGGTCATTTCAACAGGTTACTCTATCAGAGTTGGTGTTGAGAGAGAGTGGCCCGGCTTACCTTTAGCTCCCTTCTCTCCCGGTGGCCCTTGCAGTCCCATCGGACCAGGGTTACACGGTAATCCGACATCCCCCTTTATTCCCATCGACCAATAAGGTCCTATTGGTCCACGTTTACCAGGTAGCCCTCCTAGACCAGTTCTTCCGGGAGGACCCAGTCTCCCTCGGGTTCCTGGTCTTCTTCATCTTCCTCTGTTACCTTTTGGTCCTGCGCGGCAAAGTGTATAATTTTTCGCACAGATTTGGTTTTGTAGCAGAGTAAGCTCTAGTTTGATCAGCCTTTGTACAACAGAAGATGTTGGGGAAGAGTTTTGTTGTAAATTATCCCGTGTAAAGCGTTTCTTTCTCAATATGGCGTCCTGTCCGTCTGAAGATATCAAAGATTGGCAGTTTCCCATGTTCATTGGCATCATCATGTGTCATTTGAACAAAAACGCGCCTTAAACACTGATATAACCGACTGGGAACGCGAGAATAGATGATTGGTAACATAGCTAAACTTACCACTGGTAACTTCTTCCTTTAGCTTCCTCGTATCGTCAAGTCGCCTACGAGCGTAATTCTTTTATACCTTCCGTATGATCTCTGTCCCTATCTTATCACAGAACTTTGCTGAGTGCGATATCAGTAGATGATGTTTTATTTTTAGTTCCACGTTAATCCACGCGACACAGCACTGACAAAAGAGACAACAGCAAGCGCCACCCGGAACACAAGCGCTCTAACAGCTGTGTTCTGTTCATTTGCTTTTGTGTTTTTCCATGTTGTTTCATTGTAACAGCATCCAGAAAGATATCTCAAATTCATAGACATACATCGACCAATGTATGTTAACTTTTGTGGAGACGATCAGCCGGCCCATGTAGAAGCTAGTACTTAGTTCAACTTAAGAGGCTCGTTCTGTTGTATGTGCTTCGATCGCCAATATAGTTACGCCAGTATACTTATACCTCGCGTACTCGAGGGACTTTGGTTATTACGATGCCGATGTATTTTTCTGAGCAAACGTGAAACAGCAGTAAAGGCGGAAACGAGTCAATGCTTTAGTGTTACGGAAGGCTGATAATCATTTTAAAATCTTGCAGGGTCGGGTAAAGCAAAAATATATTTAATATATATAATTTATATAATATAATAATATATAATATATATTAATAATATATAAAAATATGATAATCAATAATAATATAATAATATATTTTTTGTGAACCTTTGACCTGCACGTCTCCAGAACTATTTTGACTGTTGTTCTTCATCTACATTATTTCAAGGACTCTTTTCGATTCACCTGCTGCCAGCCTACGCGCATGACTTGAGGAAATCAGCTCCCCAGTTTCATGCAGTTGATTGTAAAGGATTATTTGATTTAACTGATTTGAGCGGAACGTGACTGTATGGCAGACTTCTAATGTCATTCCATTTAGCGCTCCCTCCGATAAGTGTCCTCTTGTTTCGCTGATACACACATACTTGAGTAATAAACATCTACAACCTAATGTGAGAGTCGAGAGACCCTCTAGAATGTAGGAAAATGACGCTTTGTAAAAATTAACAAGATTTTCTAATACGCGTTTATTTGATAGCGTTGGCTTGTTTGCTTCGTTTCCGCGTCAAAAAAGAACTCGCTACCCGGTAAATTTCTTATCATTCTAATTTCCTCCTCTTCTCGATAGAATTCAGACATTTTTGACCACTGGCCCGGAGAACAAAAGCTTTTTCTCTCGCGTACTGATCTTTTCAAAGTTATCGTAGACACTTTTAAGTATGCACTAAGTGGTGATCATGTCCTATGTCAAAGGACAATCTCACGAAAACTTTTCCACTGCGAGTTTGAAGTGATTAATTTTGAAATCAATTGTTTTAAAATTTCTAACAATTCAACTTCTCTCAATGTGAATTTTAGCACCTCTCTTGTTTTTATTTATTTTTTAGATGTTACATTTTTTTTATCCGTTGTGTTTATCTCAACCCTCGGCGATACAAGGAATGTGGATTTTTAATGATTTTACATAAATATCTGTCCTCTATGTATATTCCATGGTGTGCATATGTGATGAATTTGGAAAACTGTAAATACTGGCACTTTCTCCCTATATACCCCGCGGAGAGGGAAAGTTTAGTCAAATGGCGATTCTCAGAACCCACAACCAACGTTCGGGACTTTTCAAAGTTTGTTTATGCTGATACGTACTGATTAACACTGCCTAAGCATATACAGAAAATTGGTAGAAAAGATTATTAATACAATGCCAATTCATTAACTTGTCGTTTCGTACACCTTTTATTCAAGGTGTACCAGATGAAAATCTAATGAATACGATCGAACTAAAAGGTTTTCATACAAAAGAGGACCAGCCTCAGGGTTTTAGTCACTAAGCAACACTTACAAGTAAAATCAATATCGTGCAACGCATTATCAAGATTTCCAGCTGTGAAAAACAGGTGAATAGGCTATTTTCCAAACGGTCTGTAAAACTTATAATTAAGACTTTCTGGCTGCAGAAAAATGTATCTAAACCGTGTTTTTCTAGCGTTTCTGTGTCTACACCTTCAATTTTTGGCTTCAAATGGTGGTATGTGTCGTGAAGAGAAATCCCAGCTCGGTTTCGCCCTTCTGAACTCTTCCTACAGCACTAAACAATCACCGCGCTACTCTGACTGCGTAGAATCATGCGCGCTTGATCCTCAGTGCATGAGTTTTAATTTCTGGTGGGATAAGAAAATGTGTGATTTGAACGGTAAAGCTAGGGAACATAGTTGTTTGGCCTGCTTTGTGACCGATAAGTCATCCACTTACATGGGAATGGCGAGGTATCCAGGCTACCCAGGTAAAGTCAAAATTTTGAAAATAGTTAATCACAAGATAAAGTATGCAACTCTATCAGAAACCATTGCGTTTCCCTATGTATCGTTAAACTAAACCATGCAGGTATTCTAATAAGCTAGATAAACATCTACGGTAACAACTTTGCTTTGGATCGGAGCCAACGCTTGACAGAGTCTCATTAGGGTGAAGGCTTTTACGGCTTGCGGTTAAAGTTTTGGCCAATTTACGGCCGTAACAGTTAACACCTTTCCTTTGGGATCACCAGAAACAATTTTACGGTTAATGTTTTTATAACTAACGGTTCAAAATTGTCAGTTTTTACACGTAACGGCTAAATCGCTTGGCTGTTTCATAATTACGGCTATCGGATAATCCCATTTGAGACCCAGGTATCAATATATCAGTATCAAGCGGAAAGCAAAACATTAATTTCAGATGAATAACCTTAAGTTGAAACGTTTTATGAACAAAATGACCCTAGTTGATGGGCAAGGATGGGGGATCTTTTTTATTCGCAAGTTTAATTCCCTGAAAATGAATCTGTTTTTTTTAGGAAACTTGTTAAAGGTTAAAAATCTCTCAAAGTTGATATCAAGTTCTAAATCGTAAACAGATATTAAAAGTAACTGACATCAACTGGGAGATGTCACGTGTGTTGTTAGTTTCTCGGTCTTGGTATTACTATCAAGCTGTTGGTTGGAGCCTTATTTGAAAGGCTGGGATCTGAAATTAATTTTTTTTCAATGTTTACCTGTAAAGAGTGATTCTCGGCGTCAATTGCATCGAAATAGCTCAACAGAGTAAACGAATAAACCCTAGCTAATATAACATCAAGCGATAACTCTTAAAACTAGACTTTTGTATCTGTGCCATCTAGCTCCATTCTAAATGAGTTAATTATTCAGTCATAGTTTGCTGATAAATTTTTTGCAATTGTTCGTTAATCCGCGGGCAGTCGGCGCACACCGGCTATCAATAATTCTGCGCCTTTCGTTGCCGAGATCTCGATTGAAAAATGCCTTACATTTCCCTTTTAACTCAGTTGGGGAAAGAAGACGGTTTGATATCAGTTCAAGATACAACCCTCAACCTGATTGGTTGTAGTCAATGTGGCTGTTTGTTTGATAATGTCGTAATATGATAGAGAGAAGCTTAATAATAACCACCAATAAGGTCTCTCGGAACAAAAGCTCTCATGGGTGTCACAATACTCATCATGACAAACATTGAAAAGTGTAATAAACACGATTAGTTTTAGAAGTTGTTGTTCAAACAACGTCTATCACTAACGTGGCTTATTTTACACGGCCAGTGATCTTCCGCAAAAATTAAATCATTACAAAATTAAGGGTCGACATTTTGAATATTTGGCGGTGAAAAATATCGTTCCTACATGCGCTACTCAACTTATAAAACACTAAGATGCCTACTGATCTTAAATGATTAATGACTCGGGAATCCATAAATTCGTTAAGAGTTTAAACGACGCTTCTTTCAATGATAGATACTGCATTTTATCAGAAAATCCTAATCCTGAGTTTCTAGAGTAAACACCACCGGCCAGGTACTTTAACACAGTTTGGCCATTAGCTCTGAGAAACAGTCTTTATAACCATTTCCAATTTAACCTGAGGTTTTTAACTAACATCCCAAGAGGCTTTATCGCATCATAGAGCCAGAAAAATGCATTCTATTGCTTTTATGACATAAGCAGTTGCATGCGGGCTCCATAACCTGCTAAAGCATCCGCTTGAAAACTGAATAGACCAATCAGATGATGCGCACTATAATCATTATGTTAAAAAGATAAATATAAATGTCAAGTAGAAAGATGTTTGGAGTTGCATTGTTTCGCTCTTTTCCTTAGATGGATTTGTAGTTGTTTGGATGTTCACCAACAGAATTATGTAGCTTACCAGGTTTTAACGTTGCAATGAATTTTTTATTCTAATCATCCTCTGATACACGCTAGTAAATTTTAAAATTAATGAAAAATATTCAATCCCCAGCGTTAGCGAGGTCCTGTAGCGCCTTGAAACAGGTAGACCCCTCAGCACAAACTGGCTTGTACGTGATTGACCCTGATGGCGAAGGAGGCTTCCCGCCTTTACTTAACGTCACCTGTGACATGGGTGACAAGAATGGAGTTGGCGTGACAGTCGTCAGTCACGACAGTGAAAGCAGAATGCTAGTGAAAGGATGTAATGGCCCAGGATGTCATTCGCGTGACATTCAATACATAGGAGCGAGTCTGTCCCAGCTGGTGAGTCTAACTAGAGTCTCCTTACATTGTGAACAGTTTATCAAGTACGAGTGCCAATATTCGTCCATCGTATGGGAAAACAGAACATTCGCATGGTGGGTATCACGCGATGACATCAAGATGAATTACTGGGGAGGAGCCTCGCCTGGAAGAGGAGACCAAATCTGCGCATGCGGAATGAACAACACGTGTTCAAAACCCAACACTGTTTGTAACTGTGACAAAAATGACGGTGTTTTACGAGAAGACAGCGGACTCCTCACAGACAAGACAAGTCTTCCGGTTAAACAGCTGAGGTTTGGGGATACTGGAGAGGAAAACGAGAGAGGCTTCCATACATTAGGAAAGTTTAAGTGCTATGGCATGACTTAGACGCTTTCTAATTTAATCTACACGATAATCAGTTCTGATATATGGTAGACTCGAATTCCGCGCAATCGCGCAAATACTATGCAGTTTAATTTACCCTGCACCGCACTACCAAAAAGGGTCTCCACAGTCCATAAATTGTCGTTTAATGTTGTAACGTACATCAAGTATGTACACCGGTACATACTTGAAAGTTTAACTAAAAAGTCAAATGTGCTAGTATAAGGTACTACTATAAGTCCGGCTAAAAATTCAAATTATAAAGAAAGTCATGAACAAAAATGATTGAAAACCGTGGCGCTACAGGTCGTTATTAAAACGATAGAGTCACTGTTCACGGACATAAATATATGTTGGGCCTAACTCAGAGTCTTTATTTTAGCCCGAGGCACTTGATGAGGCCTAGGGTCAAAATGACTCTGGGAGGGCCAAACATATTCACACCCAAGAATATACATTATTACTGTTATTAACACTTTGGAGGGAATTTGTTAGAATCAGTAAAAAACTGAAGAATTTTTAAAAAATAATATTCAAGCGAGCGTTTAAGCGGGCTAAACAACCTTTTTTTATCCTGCTAATGTATCAATTTTAGCCAGCAAAATGCGCCACAGTGCGCGACGAAGTGACCATATATAATGAGTTCTCATGGAACTTGATGCAAACTCGGAACATGCACTTAAGTGAGCGATGAGTTGAAGTGGGATGTTGGAACCAACTCATGTAATGACTTTGCAGTAAATGAGCTTGTTCAACGCGGAAATCATTAATTATTAATCATTAATTTCTTTGAGACTCTTTCAAATATCTAATAGGCCTCAATATAAATATAGAGTAATTTTATAGATACAGTCCACTCACCACCATTCACGTTATATAATTAATTTGATAACTGGAATGCTAGAGGAATTTTTATTTCAGCATGGTTTAAATTTGTACATGGACAAAGGAAAGTAGTGGAGGTCTAACTCAAGTGTTTATTTCTTCGCTCTTTTTTGTCAAGCCTGTTTATCTTGGATTTTGATCATTACAATAATGTTTCACTTCTGATTCAACTTGAACAGATTTCCCGTCACGTAATGACCGCTGTATTGAGCATCATTTACGACCGTTGAAATATTACATGCATTAGAAGAAGTTAGCTATAATCAATGTAACAATTAGCGTTTCAGTAATAACCCTTGTTTTAAAAGTGTGCAATCATGATCAAGAAGTTCTTTACTGTAATCATTAAATAAATAAGTCTTAAAATATTATTTATCGAAGTGATTAATTAATAACAAATTTATTGCAAGCAGGCCGCAGTCAGTTGAATATCATGTACGAGATTAAATCAAATCTCAATGTCTTCATAAAATGTTTCCTTTGTTGCTTTCTGAAAATAAGCGCAAATAAAGATTTTGGAGGGTGTTCGTGTCGTTTCCTCTTCTCTCATTGATTAAGTCTCATTGATTCAAAAGAAGAAAACGTTAACCCCCCTTCGGTTCCTTAAATGTCAAACTGAGTTCTTTTAATTTATACGACTATCTCCTCTTCTGGTGATTGTGATAAGTAGACGAGCACGACACTGGGTCTGCGTACTTCACTTGTCGCCGCTAGCGGTACCGGTGTTTCGGTTTTATTGTTCTCATTTCCTTCCTGATTGTCTTCAGTAGTTTCTTGTATTGGGGAAGGAGGACGGTTTGACGTAAGCGAAAGCCGCCGAGACGTGCTTTCTGGAGCAGCTAAAGATAATACAGGACGAGCAAATGGTAAATGTGCTGTAGGATATGACGGTGAAACAGGCTGTCGTGTTGGACTTGATGGGGGGCCCCGTGCAAGGGGCGAAAGTGATGTCGAATTCGATAAATGGGGGGATACATGGTAATTTGGAGGTGGTAGTGATCTGTGGTGTGGCTGATGGTAGGGTGCCATTGATGTGATCGCCGTAGCTTGTATTGCAGGAGGTGAAACTCGCCTGGCACGTGATGGAACAGGATAAATGGCGTTTTCTGATAAAATTCTGCCAGTGGCTGGTAGAGATAATTGTTGACGTGGTTGGCTCGTCGCTACTTCATAACGTCTTATATTTTCAACGGGAAATTGCATTGCAACAGGGCGACCAACCACCAGTCTCGGTACGTTAAGGTTCATGTTGTTGGTATCTCCCCCCGCTGATATCCCACCTGATGGGGATGGGGGACGAGACTGGTAAGCAGGGGGGCTCAGACATTGGCTGTCCTCTGACGCCGTCGATTCACGTCGGTTCCTTCTACCAAATACTCTGTCGTAAGCAGGTGGCGGGGTACCTCCGGGTAAACTTGCTGATGGCCTATATGACTGGATTATCTGTCGTTGATATGGTGGAAGCATGGGAACTGAGTGCCGATCATGTTGACGAGGAGGAGCACGATTGGGGTCGAGTATAGTTCGTGGGAGTTCGGCTTCACTTCGTTGACGTTCGGGAGGATGAGTTGCATGTGATCTCCCAACAAGAGCAAGTTGGCGGTCGATGTATTCTCGCGTCATTCTAGACGAACTTAGAACCGAAGTTACTGGCGTTTCCAAGGCTTGATCGATAACTCGCCGTTCATCGTTGTAATGTCGCTCGCCGTCGCAACGTCGTTCGCGATATATAATACGTTGAGGATTAATCCTTTCGCCTGAACTATTAGTAGATCGACTGAACGTTGCAGAATTATTTGTAGAGATCGTTGAACTAACTCCTCTTGAAAAAATCTCTGACGAGGCAAAGGCTAAAAACTCTTCTCGGCTAGGTCTGCATTGTTGCGGATCCCTTCTCGATTTCGAACGGTAGAACTTGAAGTAAACTACACCCGACCACAAAAGCACAAAAATAAGCAATACTCCGAACCCAATTAGAGCGCCAGCACTCATCTGATCAGTGTCGCTTTTAGAGTTTTGAAAGTGTACAACAGCTATGATAATTATAGCAGTTACACACAAAATCATCAGCCAGCACACGATACAAACCCAGAAGATCTTTCTCCTTCGCATTGAGGCTAGTTCAGTAGAGTTTCGCCTGTCTGACAGTTCATTCCGTGCTTGAATTGAAGGCCCATCCTGGCCAGAAGATTGTCCAGTGCTCATTTCTATCTTGAATCGCTAATCGTGTTTCACCCAGACTTGATCAACCGACTAAAAAGCTGTTTTTGCTCTCACTGAGGCTACGCGACCATTAATGCCGAAACAATGTCGGCAATTGTTTCTAGTTTGAAAGAACAACAGCTCCACCAATATTGCCCTCCTGTGAAAAACCAACTCACAAAACATCATTCTTGTGGCCAGCCCTTTTCTCGATCATGTCCGGTGACGTGACAAGTAATTGAGCCCGCTATATATTGCAGTTTGCGTGCAACTTTATGGAGTCTCGAAAAACCTGGATTCATTCAACGATTTACAGCCGACGTCATTTTATATGTTTGTGTTTTCTGATGTGACTGTTTAGCCTGTGTGAAAGAGCTTAACAGTCTAAAGAAATATTTCAAAATAAGCTGAGACAAGAATCATTGTACCGAAATATTGGATCTGTGGTTAAGTTCAAGCCTCGGTGCTCCTGCAGTAAATTTTTAAATTCCTTTTGTTCCTTGACTAATCTAATTCAATATCGTACCATTAAATTTATTGCTGTCTTTTCTAAAGATGGTTTCATCGTAAAATAGCACTCATCACGAAACGTATAGGTAGATGAAAAGAGAAACTGGTCTAGAGCTTAGAGCTGTTCTTGATTACGATCTAAAATATGTCAAGACTTTAGTTTTTATCTGATTCAAAATATTGACAAATATTATATTGTTCTTGGGGGAAAAGAAGTTTTACTCGGTTAGTTTGCGTGTCTGGAATTATAACAACTTCCCGTGGTCCACTATGTGCAAGGCATCACCTTTATTCTCGTTACAAAAATGTGAATAATGAAAATTTTTCTTAAAGTAATTGATATAAAGAGAATGAAAAGGCAATTTAGCGAAAATTAAGAGCACTCAAAAGATCGAAGGGCACAGTTTTTCTAATGTATTTCAACACGTCAGTATTATCGTATATTCCGTTTTGAGGTTTGTTTTTTTATAAATGTTGGTTTAGCTGTTTCCTTGTCTTTCTTTTAAAACATTTCCTCTAGATTACAGCTTCTATACTGTTTTTGTCCAGTCGGACACGCCGTCAGTCACATGAAAGAGAACTTGTCAATCACTCGTATTGTAAAATGTCTAGTCGTCTTTTTATTCATGAACATAAAATAATTTATTCCGAAATTCCTTGGAAACTGATAAAATATCCTGGTTAGATTAATAGTAGTTAAAAGGTTTTCTTTCTGAAAACAGAAGACAATTAGTCTCATCTCAAAAGTGTAGAGATAAAAAGAAACCATAAGTAAATTACCTCAATAATTGGTTATCATTAAGATTAGACATGTGTGTCTTTCTTGCGTCTAGTTAACAAGTTGCCTTAGTCTGATAGCTATAGTGGACAGCTTGTTCTCAGCCTTGCTCGAAAGCTGACAAGGGCGCTTGCATTGGTGAAAGACGCAAATGGAAAGAAAACATGAAGGGAAAAAACGTCCAATTTTTGTATCAGTCCTCTTCGCTATCATGGAGAGATAAAAAGTACTTTTCAGCCCAGAAGAAGTTCAACAGGATAGCATGACTCCTTGACTAGATTTTTTTTCCAAAGAAAAAACACACTGGTGCCTAATTGATCGATAATGTCTAAGCACCATGTAATGATGATTTGGTTCAAGTGAGTGTGGACTTGTCCTCAGTAACGTCACTCACGACATCATCTCTACCGTTGTTTTGTCTCAAGTCCAAGAAAAATCTCAAGCTTGCGGTTTCAGTTTTAGATCGGTCCAAGATTCCTACTTTCTAATTGTAGTGTTTAAAGATGATGAGACAAATAAGAGCACAGTTGATATTTCAAGAGAATTTTTGCATCATTTTGATGCTTGACCCTAGTTCCAACCTCAAGCAAAATTTCCTATCTACACTGAGAAATTTGCTGATAAATAAAGAGTCGAGGATGTAGATTTTGCACACTACGGTACTTATAAACTGAATTTTGACCCCATAAATGACAGAATTCCCATTAAGGATAATCAGTAGCGATGATGAGTCTAAATGGCGTACAATACGAAAGTAAAACTTTCTTTTGTGACTCCCGGGCTCCTTTGAGGTTTGAATCGTTAACAGGTTTTAATCTGGATTGTCTGGAATTCTTTACATTTCCTTTTTTCATTTGCGTGGGACTCAAAAACGTTCTAGACTATGTCTGTGTCTCTTTAGTATTGCCGTCTGGCGACAGAGTGATATTGATTGTAGATTTTAAAATTGCGCGTTTCTAACACCGAAAACAATCATGATACTTGACAATGAGATATTTTTAGCCTCACAGAAACTGACAATGGACGGAAGAGGGTCAAACTGAAAGGGCAGCGCGCGACAAACTGATTCTAGCCGCTCCTCCATTCCCTTCACATCCCCGCCCTTTTTATAGTAAACATAAAATCAATAATAAATTGGAAGGACCACACTTTTGTTATGAAGCTTTCTTCAGTTAGGAACTAAAAATAACGAATTACTCTCTCTCTCTCTCTCTCTCTTCTCCCCCCCCCCTACTCTCCCCTTCCCGTCGTTCTATCAACTCCTCCCTTCCCCTCCCCCCCAACATTCCGTCTAGACCTCGCTGAGCAATTAGCACGTAAGATTTTAGAATTACGCCTGATTACTGTTATTCTTCTTAAATTTCAAGTTCTTTATAAGCGAAAGTTAACAGAGACACAAAGAAGCATTAATCTTTCATCTGCCGGCCGCCTTACCATTAGTTTATTTCTTAAGGGCAAACTAGAATGTCGGAAAACATGGAAAATGATGTTGCTTTGATGAAGTGAGTGTTATCACCTTAAGCTGGCCACTGGTCTAAGTTTTAACCCATGGATGGTCTTGGTGATTGAATACTTGAATTGGTTGTTATCGATAGTAATAATAATAATAATAATAATAATAATAATAATAATAATAATAATAATAATAAATGACAAGTGAATTAGGAACACGTTATAAAAGTTTCGAGATTAACTTGACTAGTGACAGTTGTGGGAGAAGATCTTTCCAGGCTTAACATCCTTCGTTGCTAGTATACTCGGTGGTATTGTTCTAGGTGACAAATTACTCACAACAGATTCAACATAGGCGAGGCGGAACGCAACTTTGTTTTTGCGGTTTCAAAAGTCGGCTTATTTCCGTCACATGTGCGAAGGGGCCGCTAGCCGGTCCTTGAGTTGAAAAGCCGTAAGCTATTTGAAGCAATCCACCGTGCCTTCATCTCCAGATTTTTGACAGGGAAATGGGAACTATAACTAAATGATAAACTGACAGAGTCATTTCAAAAAGGCCCTCTGACCTTTTGATACCGAGAAACAAACGATTGGAAACATTTGAGACAAGATTTGATAGTGTGAAATATTGAGCAATATCACCCTGTGTACCAACTAAGAAATGAATTCAATTAGAAAAATGAAGAACCTTCAAATGACCTCATTTTAATCTTAAAAGCCGATTCTGCCCCTTAGCGAAGTGTGCAGGAAAAAACAAAGAACTTGAGAGGAGAATTGGTAGGGATTTTGCTTCTCTATCATGCTCAGTCACATGATATCATTAGAATATGAGGAGGACTGGTAAAGAGATCACCCTGCCAAAAAGACTATGAAATCGAAGTGAACTCTGTTCAGTGGCTCTTTTTTTTTTTTTTTTAAGCAAGCAGCATTTATTTGTCCATGGTTCACTTTTGAGGTGGAGGAAAATCTAGATGGGGCACAGCTGGAGGCAGCCTTCCATTAAGAATTCTAGAATAAAACTTAAAGGGTAAATGATCAGGTATATATGAGAATACTGAGAAACACTTATCTGTTATAGTCATAATTGCTGAATCTAAACTTTGGTGAGATTATTCATTTATTCCATTACCTCTGAAAAAAAGTAGAAAAATACATATAACCAAATGTCAACAAATGCACAAAAAATTCAAGCTCAAAGGTTGAGTCAAAAAAGTGCCTACAGCACAAAGCTAAGGATACACCTGGTATCTAGTACATATTATTATATATTAGACTTATGAAAACTCTGATTGGTCGAGAGCATACAGTCAATATGCAATAGTGTTTGAAGTTGACATGATAACCCAACATGTGCAGATGGGTGTCCATGTCGAGTTCAAAGTCTGCCTAGTTTCCAAGCCCCCAGTCCATTTAGTGTTCTTAAACTTTCGCAAACTCAGCAAGAAGTGTCTTCTTTTGCTGATTGTTTACAAAATGTGAAATAAAACAATTATTTAATTTTGTTTTTGCACGATGTCATGAATTATTAAACCTTGTGTCTGTTTTATCTTCTTCAGCCTTTGGCCTTGCAGATAACCCAGACCTCTGCATTTATAATCCATGATATCATGCTCAACCTAGTAACTACTTAATACTAACCTGCCATTGTGTCTGTTTTGTTCAGACATGATTTTTCCTTAATAAGGAAATGCCCAATCTTTAACGCAGTTTTCCTAGTACTAAATAAATAAATACATATATATATATATATATATAAATTTTAAAAATTTGCGAGGATGGACAACTTCTGACGTAAAACGTCTTTGCTCAGAAGAAAATCTTGGTTATTTAATCAATCAACCAAGCTTTCTCTGAACATTTTACATAATTAAAATGAGCCACAAGACTCAGCCCTATGGTTATGTTGGTAACAAATATATAAACATCCTAACCTTTACAATGAAATACCCTATTCAAAATACGACCTTATCTAAATATCTTTGTTACAATTGCCACTTAACAAAGTAGATATCAATTATGTCACATGTTTAACAGGAAGTCTTCCTTATGAATTTTCCACAAATTGTTTCATAATTATCTTTGTCTTGTTGAGGTTGTTTCAAGGCCAATACTCAGTCTGCACTGCTTAATCTGACTGGCATGGAATGGCCCACAAAAGTATTTAAATCAGTTGAAAAGTTAACTGACAGCAAAACTCAGACATGTTTATGTCCTAAAGGATTGGTTTAAAAAAATCATAATCTAAGTAAAATTCCATTATGTAATATTATGCTGACAATTTAAGATTACAGTTGAGATTTGTTACCTGAAAGTAAAGTACCCAGAGCAATTAGTTCCCTGATCCTTTCTTCCATTAATTGTAATTTCTAGGGGAAAAAAACTAAGAAAACTACCCCACACTTTCAAGATGTGATTTCAACGGCTACTTTCAATAAAAGCTTTGGGTAATTTGAGCAAAGATGCTCGCAGACCTGTATAAGGAGGACTTGGAATATCTGATATTTTATCCCATTCACCTGTTTTTAAATCAAAACATTCCACTTCACTCCTATAGTTTTCTTCATCCTCACCTCCAAATAAATAAACACTGTCTCCTATGCCCATAATACCACTTCTAGCACGAGGAATACTTAGACTAGGTACTAGGCTCCACTGATTTGCACTTGGATCAAATATTTCACAGGAAGGTTCTACACTGCAAATTGACATATCACTAAATCCTCCGACAACTACGATTTTTCCACCAACTGCCACAGCAGCAGCCGACCTTCGAACAGCAGACATACTTGAAATCTCAGCCCATTGGTCAGTAGATGGATTGTAACACTCTGCACTGTTTAGACATTCCTCTCCATTGTGACCTGCAAGGACATAAATATGTCCTTGAAGTACAACTGCATTATGTCCAGCACGAGAAGTTTCCATTGATCCTCCTTGTCTCCACTCGTTAAGAACTGGATTGTAAATTCGAACATCATGCCAAGAATCGTCACCACCTATCACAAAGAGCTCATCGTCAAAGGATGTGACTGTGCAGTCTTTGCCTTTTAATTTTGTATCAAGAGCGTACCACTTATTTTGCTTAAAACAACTAACTGAGGTTGAATCAACACCTCCTACAACGTACAAGAGTCCTCCGCACACTGCTGCATCGTGATATTCACAGTTGAAAGGCATAGTGGTGAGGGACTTCCAGGTCATAGTAGCAAGCACAAAACAACTGATTACGTGGTCATCCTTTTCTTCAGATGCCGGTTGTTCACTTGTGAGTACCACTACATCTTCATAATCCTTTAATGACAAGCGGGGTTTGAGCGAAGTGTCCTGGGACAGTACCGGGAAAAGAAACAAATCCAACGAATTGATTACAATTCTCGTACATTCGAGACTTTTGGAAACAAGCTCTTGATCAAGTATCCTTCGAAGACTGGATTTTGACATTGAAAACAACCTAACACATTTCAACAGTTCTGGAAGGGTACATTCCCTGGTTGGCAGATCATGTTTCACCCAGGCCATCACTGCTTCATACACTTCCTCTTCTTCAGTCACGTTTATCTCGTCCATGCAAATCAGTTCTTTGACTTTCTTCGAATCGAGTGACGTGAAATCTTCAGATCTAAAGACGTCTGGAAAATTCTCAGTTTGGAAAGAAACTGCGGCTTGTCTTAGTTGCTGGCAATCATATTGAGAAGCAAACGATTCTAAAGCTAAACAATTGGATACATTTATCATTTTATTCTGGAGGAAAAATGCAGCTTTCTTTTTCAAACTTGGAATTATCAAGTAGTCGGCGACCATCACCAAATCTTTCGCGTTGGAAGGGTCGATAGCTGTTTCACCAGTATAAATATAATGAAGAACATCGCTAATCGTGGTAGATTTGATCTCCTTTAACTCTACGAGACTACTTTCTTTCTCTTTCAATTCACTTGTAAACATGGCCCGGAAGTAAGGGCTTGCAGCTGATAGAACACATCTGTGGGCAGGGAAATCCTGTCCTTGGGCTCGAATCGTTGTATCACAGAGAGTATTCGATTCTCTGAGTTCGTTGAGGTTAAAGAACAACTCTTCTCGAAAATTTTCGTACATTATTTTGGGCTTCTCGTCTTCTTCCGCCTGATCCTTGACATCCGCCATTGTTAATTGACTCAAGAATTTACGTTATGTAACGCACACAATTTGTAGCTGGTCACGTAGCCGTTCATCTCTCCTGGTGGGTATACTCTCTGGACCGCTAAATTATATTTGTTTTGGTCTGAAATGTAATCTCCATCAAAACGCGAAGTTACACTGTTGAGATTTCCTTTCTTTCGCAATTTCCTAAATTAAGTAAACCAAGCTGAAATGACACGAGATACAATACAATACAATACAAAGACTTTATTTAAACACGATAATTGTTAAAGCGCTTGTAGCAGTTTCCATTAATGCTCCTTGCCTCCATCTGTTAAGAGCTGCATTGTAAATTTGAACATTTTGCCAAGAATCTCTCCTCTAATTAAGTCGAGCTCTTCATTAAATGATGTGACACTACATTCTATTCTGTGAAATTCAGTACCAAGTGTGCCCCATTCATTCTGTTTTGGGTTAAAACAACACACTAAACCAGTCAAATTTCTCCCACCCATAACATATGAAAGTCCTCCACATGTTGTAACACCATGCATGATCTGCACAAGCAATAGGCATCATGATCATTGATAGGGACTCCCTGAGGTCTTCATGGCAAGAACAAAAAACAATTAATTTCATGTTTAAAAATACCATTGTTAATCCCGCCAGTGAGTACCACCACATCCTCATCACGGTTGTTCAAAGATGTGTGAGGTTTGTAAGAAACGTCCTGGGAGAGCACTGAAAATAGAAACAGGTCCAGCACTTTGAGTACAAGCCTTGTGTAAGTGGTGTTCTTGGTAACAAGCTCTTGATCAAGAAGTTCGCATAGACTTGACTTTTTCATTAAAAAAAGTCTGACACATTTCGTTAGTTCTGGAAATAAAGATTCTCTGGTTGGCAGATCATCTTTCACCCCAAAAATCATCGCTTCATATACTTCCTCTTCCTCTGTCACATTTATTTCGTCCGTGCAAATCAGTTCTTTAACCTTCTCCACGTCCAGCAATCTGAAATTTTCGGATCTTTAATCTTTAATCAATATACTTCTAAAACAGTAAAAACACTATTATATAATACTAGAAGTTTAAATAAATGAATAAATAAATAAATAATGAAATATTCGGAAAGAAAACAATAAGAGGATCGCATGACCTCTGCAAAATTTTCAGTTTTATAGGAAACTGCCGCTTGCTTTAGTTTTACGCAATTATTCTAAGAAGCAAACGCCTCTAAACCTAAACAATTGAAAACAGTCATCTCACCCCGGAGGAAACCTTCAGCTTTCGTTTTCAAACTCGGTATTACCAAATAGTCGGCCGCCATTATCAAATATTTCGCGTTACAACTGAATCAAAGCTTGTTTGACCTGTGCAAATAAAGCGAAGAACACTATGGCAAGCCGGAGAGGACAAAAGTATAGTGAAAAGAAGTTTACGTGACGAGTTATAAATATCATAGTACGAGTTTAAAATTTCACTGGACGAGTTACAGTTTTACTGGATGAGATACAGTTTTTGTACTTCCAGAAAAAAGATTGCTGTACCAGAAAAACTTTTTTATGCACGAGAAAAAAATTATAATGCGAGAAAAATTCTGATGGACGAGAAAAACATTACTGGACGAGAATATCGATTGATTATCGATTAGTTTCGAAACATGGTCAGCGGTATTGATACTTTGTCATGCACATTAACAATCATTGTTAACATGGCGGATCAGAATGTTGCCGATGTACAGTCGTTATTAAAGACTGTCCAAGATCTTTCTGAAAGACTTATTCCTCGTAATCAAGCCATTAATAATGAAGTATTAAGGATCTTCAATAGAAGCGGTACAAGGAAACACAACGAGTACACCATCAACAACTTCAACAGTTCAGACTAGCAACAACGCCGTTCAGTTTTCACGATTCCGGCGCCTTCAAAACAGTCGAAGAATTGGTCAAAGTTTGACATCTAGGCGCCAGAATCGTCCAGCAAACACACCGTTTCTCTGTGATGTGACTCTTCTTAGTGGCCCCCATGATTCTATCGTCCCAAGACAAAGCACTAAACTGTTCTTAACGGAACGCGGCCACGTGATCACAGCTACCGTTTTCACAAGGGGGTGTCAGAAATAGAAGACGAGACTACTATAAATGAGGCTTTTGGAGATCTAATTCCTCCTTTGGTAGATATTGAGATCCTGCACTCAGTTCACCATTCTCTGGTAAAACCTGCCCTAGATCGCGGTAATCAAGGTCTTGATGGCACAATTATTCATAGATTATTTAAATCCAAGAACAAGCCCATTTATGTCAGACCAAGTGAAGTCCTTATTCCCGAAATTGCACAGGTTTGGTATTTATACATTCAAAATAAGTAAAAATTATTTGTCATGTATTGTTCATTTGGGATTGACCCATGGGCAAAAGGTGTCTACCTTACATGCCTTAAATACCTTAAAAAACTTTTAAAAAATAATTGGCCTTTGCTATTGCAATCATACTTGAATCAACTGGATCTGCATGTGCTGGTTTTATGCTTTAAATTCAACCCTATCTCTTGATAAACACTGAGAAACATGGTTTCCTGGCACACATACAATGTAAAGCCATATTTTAAATAATAAAAACTTAGAAAATAATAATAAAAATCATGAAAGACATTCAGACGATGGACATTTGTCTGTTATTTGGCTCAATAATTATATTATTTATTATCCATACTGTATCTTCTTGATAGGACCAAGAAGAGGACAACAAAGAAAAGATCAAAGCTAAGATTGATCTCTCAAATGATAAAGGTAAGTCAGGTAAATGTCTCTAAGAACATTGCACCATCTAAATCTGTAAATCACCATGTAAATCTGTAGATGAGAAATCAATGACTTTTTGCGGGCTTGACTCTCTGTATAGTTAGGTATTATGCGGGTCAATCACAGAGGACATGAAAGTTGAATATTTATTATTTATCTTCTTGATAGGACCAAGAAGAGGACAACAAAGAAAAGATCAAAGCTAAGATTCATCTCTCAAATGATAAAGGTAAGTCAGGTAAATGTCTCTAAGAACATTGCACGATCTAAATCTGTAAATCACCATGTAAATCTGTAGATGAGAAATCAATGACTTTTTGCGGGCTTGACTCTCTGTATAGTTAGGTTTTATGCAGGTCAATCACAGAGGACATGAAAGTTGAATATTTATTATTTATTTTCCTTGTGATTGGGTCATTTATGTGTTTCACCTGCATAAAACCTAATTATACAGAGAGTCAACTCTAATTGGTCAATTTGCGGGCCAAGCCTGCAAAAAGTTATTGATTTCTCATTTACAGATTTAAATGGTGATTTACAGATTAAAAAAGTTTTTCTGGTACAGCAATCTTTTTTCTGGAAGTACAAAAACTGTATCTCATCCAGTAAAACTGTAACTCGTCCAGTGAAATTTTAAACTCGTACTATGATATTTGTAACTCGTCATGTAAACTTCTTTTCACTATACTTTTGTCCTCTCCGGCTTGCCATAGAACACGGCTGATCGTCGCAGATTTGATCTCTTTTAACTCCACAAGACCCCCCTGCTTTTCCTCCAATGGACTTGTGAACATGCCATCAAAACACATCTGTGAGCAGGGAAGTCCTGTCCTTGGGCTCGAATCATCATATCACAGAGAGAATTTGTTTCTCTGAGCTCGTTGAGTTTGTAGGTGAGCTCATCTTTAAAATCTTCGAAAATTTTTGCCTCTTCCTGGGTGCAAGCCACCATGACGAATCGACCTTACATGTTCCGTCATGTAATTAAGCACAATTTATAGCGAGTCATTAGACGCGCCCGATCTGTTCGTGGCGCATTGGCGGCCACTACACCACAAATTTTTAGTGCAGTGCAGTTGCTTTTGCCTCGAATTCAAATTTAAACACTTAGGAAATTAACTCTGCTGATAATTGAATTATTTAGTCATTTTACACACTGGGTAAATTCTGAACTAAAACGACAGTTTATCTCATCAACTGGTGTTACCTATGGAAAAAATAATTAGGGTCCCAAATTCTGAGAAGGAAGAAAGGGGCTTATTACTTGTTAGCTTAGTTAAGCGACTGAGACACTTTCTCGACTGACTGAAAATTCCATATTTGAAATGGCTGTCTCTTGCAATGCTGCTGAAAATTAAAGAGGACGTTGTAATAGCCAACTTTACTATGATCTTCCTCCTAGTTTATTTTGTCACGAGCTGGTTTTTCCAATAAATAAATTTTTAACCTACTATTAACCAAGTTTTGATTGGAGCGTGGTAAATACTTAGCCAGCCGCTCTTTAGGAAATGAGCCTGCGAGACTCTCCTTTACCTCCCGATCCCGGAGAGGAACGAAGGTTGTTGGAACCATGATTGCGAAAGAAAAACATCTGCGATAAGTGGAAACATTTTTAACCCTCCCACTTCTTTTCTGCACCACTCCCTTCCCAGACACCCCCTACTAGACGAGCGACCCCGGTGGAACACCAAGATGAGCATCATAAATTTTAAAATTAGTGACTCCCCTTTTCTTCTCTCCTAAGTCGCCTAAGCTTGTATGCAGTTATGTCGTCCAAAAGTGAGGTCACGTCGTCTCATTTTGGATCCATTTAAGTCGGTGATCACTAATCTCGTTGCCACAAGTTTTTGAATTTTAATTCAAAAACCGATTTAAAAATCATATTCTCACCCAAATTTTTTATTGAGTTTATTAACTTTGTTAGTCTTGGTGGCTCCTAAAAGAACCGTTTGAAGCACTTCTTTTGGATAAAGAACACAAGCGCTGATCCTCTTTTTGAGCAACTTAACTGGAGTCGGTTAGATACTCAGCGACAAATACAAGTGGCCACCATGGTCTATAAATCTATACACGGTCTTGCGCCCGACTATCTTGGTTCTCTTTTCACTAAATATGATCCTCCTTATAATCTAAGGAACTCTGAAAACAGACTAGCTGTTCCACTGCCCCGCACAAATTTCCTGAAAAATAGCTATAGCTATAACGGTGCGGTTATCTGGAACAGCTTGTCCCCTGAATTGCGGCAAGCAAAATCACTTCACTCTTTTCGCCGGAAATGGTTGTAGCGATTTCTTCGTCTGAATCGACGAAACGCACACGGCATCTATGTAAAGCAGAATTTCTTTATTTTTTTCTATTTCGCTTTTAAATTTTAGATCATGTTTATTAAAGTAGAATATAATTGTAATAATAGATTGTAATAATATTATAATTTTATCTGATAGATTTACCGTGTGTAAATAAAAATAAAGTTCAAGTTCAAGTTTATAATTTCCTCTTCTTATCGGTAAAAAGTTGAAATAAGTTCCCTCAGTTCCCTCTGAGGCACTCCTCCCCTACC